GCGACTAGTCGATACCCATTGCTGCACGGGCAACACTTCCCTGAGAAATGATAGATAAATGCATTCGAAAATCCCTCTCCTGCAACATTAATCATCGTTGCTCTCTGCCCGTTTATCGGCATACCATATACCCCTTCTGCGTGACGAGCATCAGATGGTGTGGTGGTGCACTGCTGGACTCTGCTGCACCATCCAAGCAGTTGGCGCATTGTTGCAAAATAGTTTGCTGGCATCTTTATGCCCTGAAATGGGCGGATGTAAACTTTCGTGGCATCCGCGCACCCCGCATTAGAATATAAAGGAGCTGCCGAATGGAGCAGGGAGCTGCACCTGAAAGTCGCGCTGACATCAGCTCATCCCTCTGGCCAACCGATTGGTAGTGTGCATTTTTGAGGCGTAATTAATGTTTAATCAACAAAGTGGCATGTCCCCGATGCCCATCGAACCCAGAACCTTCTGTGACGCGGCGGCAGCCACTTGATGGGCAGCGGTACCTCCCGCAGAGTGCATGGCAGGCATGTGGAAAACTAGCGAAATTGCATCAAAGAAAGAAAAATATTTGCAGTGCGTGGGGGGGCGCTGTGCAAAAAAAAATCAAAAATGAAAATCGGAAAATCGGATAATGCAAACAGCAAATTAAAAACGAAGCGCAACGAGAGCTCGTGTCACGGGTGCCATGACAGGACCTGTTCCAGCCTCTCGACCACCTCCACGTACTCGTTCTCGTCCCGTTGCTGCTGCTGCCTTTGGTCCTGCTGCTGCTCGACCATGTTTGGGGCCGGCTAATTGAAAGCTGACGCGGCCGACGCCGCCTTTGCGCTTTGCGCTTTGCTCTTTGCAGCCAAAGACAAATATTGGATGGACCGCAGCTTTATGCATATTTAAAATCAATTAAGTCAATAAATAATAAGGACAACCTTAATGCAATTTCATATAAACGAAATGCGGCAAATGCTTATTTGCCAATGCCGCAGCCAAGGGGCAGGACAGGACTGTGGGAGGGGAGACTGTTAGTGGCAGCGTGTAGGGGCTATGAGAGGTCAAGAAACACGACACGGATACTCCGACCCGGCAGTCGTAGTCGGTGCCTGAAACGGATTTGGGCGCGACACGCTTCAAGAGTCCTCCACTTGGGCCACTTGGGAGCCACTTTTGTGGAGTCACAAAAGGGTGGATGGGCGGAGTGGCACTGGTAACTGGTGCACTCAACGGTGAGTTGCAAATTGTTGCCATTTGCCCGGTGCATGCCGGGCGAGTGATTGAAAGGGGCACACACACAAAGCGGTCGCCGGAGCACGCCAGCCAATGCACTCACCCACGAAATCTGGACACAAAGCGTTCCCCTGCCGCCTGCCGCCTGCCGCCCGACACTCTCTTTGCAGCATCTGTGCCAAGCTGCGGCGAAGTGGACCAAATCACAGAGCAAGCCAAGCGAAATCACATGAAAAAAATCAGCTAAGCGAGCGCCCAGCTGCTCCCCTGCCACCCCCGCTGCTAAATTCCACGAAAAAGTCCAAACGAATACAAAAAATGGAGAACGACTCGCAGGTCCAGGCAGTTGTGTCAAAGTAGGAGAGCAAAAAGGAGTGCAACCACAAATGTGGCACACAAAAAGTGACTGCGACAACGAGTGGCAAAAGCTAAAAGCAATCAGAGTGCGTCCGGAGTCGACCAAGCAAAAGTCCAAAAAGACTGCAACGAAGATGATGATGATGCCAGTCGTACAATCCAAAAGACGAGCAACAAACACAACCTCACCCCCCAAACGCGCACACATGGACACCCATTCACACAGACAGCGGGGAATCGGGGAATTTCATTCATGACGATGAACTCTGAAGCTCTGGCTGCATGCCCCAGTCCTCAGTCTACAATCTCCACTCGACAGCCATGTCATGTCCTTGCAAATGCCCAAGCCCAGGCGCCACTCCAGTGCCCACACCCAGCTCCCATCTCCCAGCTCCCAGTTGCCAGCCGTATCCGTATCCGTGTCCGCGTGTGCATCTTTTTGCTTTCGTTTTAGAAAACTCACAACTCGCACGACATTCAAACCAAACCAGAGCAGGCCAGAGCAGGCCAGACCAGGCCAGGCCAGACCAGACCAGACCTGGTCGGCGGGGCATGCCAAAAAGAAACTGCAACGAATCAAGGACGAATTTTTTGGCAGTTTTTTCAGCTGCTCCTCCGTGTTGCCCCCATGCACTCCTGCTCCTCCACCTCCTACCAGTAAGTGCTTCTGTGTGTGTGAGGAAATGTCGGTTTGGCTTTGTTTTCCAGTGCCTCGACTGGTGTTATTGCTTCTGCTGCTCCTTTTTCTGCACACGATTCACGGTTGTTCTTTGGCGTTTTTTGTGCACGACAGGACGGGCAGGACAGCACACGACACTCTCTGGTCTCTCGTGCAGCCAAAAAGAAACCATAAATGACGCGGAGCGACCCACATACAGATTTCCATACAAATTCCCATACACAAAAAGAAACGATCTTCCGCAGCAACACTTTGGTGTGTGGGACGGGCAGGACAGGGTTTCGCCTCGGTTTGTGCCAATTCAATACTCATTAGTGGAACACGCTGACGATGGCACTCTCTCCCCTATCCTGTGCTAAAAACGAATGTTCTCCATAAACTGAAGGATGGACTTCGAGGTCCCCTTGCCGCACTTGAAATGTGCACTATCAATCTGTCAGGGCATGATCTGGCATTCCCTTAGCCCTGCACATGTACCCATGCATATGTGATGAGCATCTCGCAGAGGCATGCAAAGGAGCTTCGAGTAAGAGCCGGGGCTAAGCCGCACAGAGAGAACAAAGGCGCCCAAAGTCGGTCGGAGAATACACAAATCCCGGTTTGTAAGCCAATTTGCACTTAGGCTTATCTAATGTCATATCATTTGTATAATGCTCTGCTCTGGCCTGATACTTGATGCCTACTCTACTCTACTCTGGCATGGCCTGGCAGTCAATACTCTCACGCACACTGCCGCTCCTGCCGCTCCTGCCCCTAAGCAGGGCTTGCACTATGCCTGAGTGTGTGGGCGTTGGAGGCATGTGAGTGTGTGTGGGGGCGCACGCCTTATCCTGCGGGGTTCATTTCTAAGCTCATTTATGTTTATCACAAATGCGTGCCAAAGTGTGTCGTTATTCTTTGCCTCGCATTCGCTTTCTTCACTCTGTCTTGAGCTCCAAGTTTCCAGCGTGGGGCCATCGTTGTCGATGTTGTCGAAGTTGTTGGCTTGGCGCGAACAAAAACATTTCAAATATTCAAAAAAGCCACACACAGACACAGACACAGACACAGACAGAGACACACCCCCACACACATTGACACATGTGGCAGGGTGAGGCACGAACTGTACTCAACTAGTCGTGGCATGTACTGGCCATAGAAATTCATCTAACGGCTGTAACAGGTAATTGAACTTGGTTATATGGCCCTCGGAATGGCGTCGCGCTGCAAATGGAAATGTGGAAATGTGGAAATGTGGAACCAGGGACATGGAAATGGAAATGGAAATGGAATTGAATGACGCGCGCATCGTGTGCCAAATGTGACGGAGAGCAGACCCTCCTCAGGCACTCCTCAGCAAATGCGTGCGAACTATATAATGCGGGCATAAAAAGGATTTGCACAAGGATCCAGAGACAGCGCACATGTGTGCGGATGGATGCTGACTGCCATGCGGGTGGGTAGTAGATTTGTTTTTGTGTGTGTCTGTGTCTGTGGCAAGACAAGACAAGGCGCGAGGCCAAGTCAATTTCAAGTAACATCCCGAGACTCTCTTTTGCTATATGAAAATTGCAAATTGTACTCCATAGTTTGGTGGGCGGGGGCAGGGGCAGGGACAACTGTTGAACTGTTGAATAATTCATGGGCCACAGGAGATTTAGGCAGAGCAACAAGATGATGTCTGCTAAGCGCGCTTGATGCCGATTTGTGGCACACATAACTGTAAATCGCCCGAGTCCGCCGCAGTCCAAAGCCAAACCAGAGCAACTGTCGATGGTGCCACACAGCTTAGATGTGGCACGGTTTTACTTTTGGTGGGTGGTGAGGGGGAGGCGGGGAAAAGCTACTCATGTGAGTGGCACTGCAAATCAGAGATGCGGGGGGGGAGAGTTGAAGCGGTGTCCTGCTATGCTCTATTTGCCACACGCCACAACCGAAGACAACAAAAGCAATAAGCGGCAAACAAAAACAATGCTTCCCCCCAGCAGCCTCCGAGTCTCGTTTGTGCATTTTCTTTTGCTTGCCACACACACACAGACACACAGTCGCCCAACCCGCACCTCAACCCCAGATCCATGGCGAACGTTTGCTGTCGTCACTGGGCTCCTGTTAGCTGCGTCTGCGTTCCCACTCGCATGTGTGTGCACTCCCCAAAAGTGGAGGTGCAACTGAATGGAGGTGGAGGTGGAGGTGGTTGTGGATGTGCTACTCGGGGTGTTGGCTGGGTGGCTAGGTGGCTGGGTGGATGCGTTCGTTGCATGCGACTTTGGTCTTGGTCTTGTTGTCGTCGGGTGATTGTGTTAGGGACTTCTTTCTTTTGTTTGCCCAGCCGGCAGCACTTTTGCCAACCAACAGGTGGCACCTACTTCTGGACACCAGCAGCATACCGTATCGCAGCCCGCTGTGTGCTGTGTGCTGTGTGCCATGTGCAGAGAGCACTCCGCCCACACAGGCCACGGCCCACTGCCCACAGAGCAGGCGGCTGAAGGACGTTCGGCGTTCGTCGTTCACTTTTCTTTCCTTTTGCCTTGTGCAAACTTCTTTTTTGTGTCCACTTTTGACTGCTTCTTTTGGTGGCTCTGCCCTTACTGCTTTCCTTTTTCTTTTGAATGGATGGTGTGCACTCCAGCTCCACCTCCACCTCCAGCTCCAGCTCCAGCTCCATTTCTACCCACTTGCCACTCCCACTCTTGCCTGTGCTTGACATTGAATTCAGGCTGTGGCTCTCTGTGTTTTACAGCTCTCGTTGGTGTTCTTTTTAAAATATGAATTATTTATTAAGTGTAATTAAAGTAAACAAAATACGTGAAGTGAATTGCAGTAAGTACAAGCTCGAATGTTGTGGAGGCTTAGGCCTATCTACGTGATGGTTTGAAAGCTGGCGGTGTCCTTTAGCGTCAGCGGCTTCCACTTCAGATCAACGCTGTGGTGGGCCGGCGGCAGGTCATCGTCGCAGCTTCCAGAGCAATTGGACTTCTTATAATTATCAGCTGGGTCTGCAAACAGTCATTCAAAGAAAAAGATGTCAGTCGTGAGTGTGAGTGTGAGTGTGCCATTAGGTGTGAGTCTCATCTCAGCCCTTACCAAATGTGTGGTCATGGTCCTCATCGCAGGACTTTGGGCAGAACACAATCTTCAAGTCGATGGGCTCAAACACCTTCAGGATGAGCTCGGGCACCTTCTCGGTGGCATAGTCGTCGGGGTTGGACACTAATGAGTGAAACGAACGATTAACATCAGGGCTCACTGGGCTGCCACTTGGTGCAGTGGCAATGGAAATTGGCGTTAGATGTACAGTTTGATTCTGTGCCTCCAGCAGCCAAGGCTTGCTGTTGACTCTGAGGACTTCTTTGTGTCTTGCTGCTGTGATTGATTCTGCTGTTGTCGGTCGTCTGCTTGTGGCTGGTGCTAATGTCGCAGTTGCTGCACTTGTGGCTGCTTCTGGTGTTGTTGGTGTTGCAATTATAATCGGTGTGGTTGATGCGGCTAATGCTGGTGTTTCTGTTGTTTTGTGTGTTGTGCTTGGACCCTCTGTTGTCAGGGCACTCGGTCCCTGTGGCGGACGTATTTGCTTAATGGAACTAGCTGTGGAAATGTCAAAATGATTTGCCCCCCGCAGAAAGCCATCAGCCTCAGCCATGGCTTGCATGTCGTTCCAGTTCAGTGTCAGTTCATTTTCAAAAGAACTCGCGCTGATTGGCTCCAGCGGCACTGGCAGGATGGAGTGCCGCTTCGCAGTGCCTGGCCGTTGTTCGATCATTTCCTGCTTGCCTTCAATGGATCCCTCTGTGGCATTCACTTGGCCCGTGCTCTCTCCATCGCTCGGCGAATCGTACTCCTTGTAGTCCTCATCATCATAATATTCAGAGCTGAGACTTCTCCCATTTCTTGCCTGCAAATGCGATGCTCCGATCGTTGTCTCTTCAGGCACTGGCGTGCTAGTGCTCGTGCTCGAGCTCGTACTCGTGCTGCTTGATGTCTGAGGGACAGCTGTGGAAAGTTCAGGTGCTGCTGTGGATATGGAGACGGAATCTCTCTCAATCTCTTCTGCACTGAGTACGCTATTCGGAAGACTATTATCCTGCTTCTGTGACTTGGTTTCATGCCGATGGCTTAGCCTCTCTTTCAGCAGAGTCATGACGAAACTTTTCTGCGGTGTTTCCGTGGTTGTGGTGGATATTTGCGACTCTTCCGATTGACCTAGCTTGTTTCTTAGCAAACTCATGAGGAAACTTTTCTGTGGTGATTCTGTGCTTGGGATCGACATATTGTTCTCCTCTGGATGGGTTAACTTCTCTTTGAGAAGCCCCAATAGCATTAGCTTTTGTGCTTCAGTGTCCAGGCTCTTGGATTCTGCGAGAACTTCGTTTTCCAGTTCTGAGGCCGAAGCCGGAGACTCGTCATTGACATAGTCAGAGTCCAGAGAGTTATCCGCGTACTCCGAATCACCAGCCATCGTTGCATTCGGTTTGGCAGTAGTTGTGGAAGAAGGAACTGGCAATGGCCGACTGGTGGTGGTAGAAGTGGCTTCAATCGGTTCCTGCTCTAGCGGCGGGGATACAGCGGCTGCTGTGGTGCTAGCCATGGCCTTGGTAGTCTGCTGCTCCACAACTTCATTCGCTTCATCGGCGTAGTTCTCGGACGAATCGCTGTCATAATATTCAGAGTCTTCGGGCTCCTCCTTCGTGGAATTCACAGGGGAGTTATGTTCGTGAATCGAACGCTTCTGCGTTGAGGCCAGCTGTTTGATGGATAACCGCAGGGACTCGGCCATGAATGGCTTGGACGTGGCCAGGTTGTGCCTGGCCATCTGGGCGAGGGTCACACCTGGAGTCGGTGTGCGTATGGTAGTCGGCGCAGGGGTGGATATCACATGGAACAGCTTCTCCAGTAGATGTGCCGCTGCCAACGTTGACATTGCAGACTTTTTCGTCCTGGGATCCTCTGTCGTGAACTTGTCGACTGTCGCCTCCCCTTCCGCTTGGCCGTCTTGCGGCGCATCATCCATGTAGTCAAGGTTTAGTTCACTGGAAACAAAGTTGTGGGACACCACATGCTCCTGCAAACCTTTCTCCCTCACCAGCGGATTCTTATTTATGGATGATTCGGAGTTGGTGTTTGTATTCGTGAGTTCTGGTTGTCTTGTTGGTGTTTCTTGTTCTTGTTCTTGTAGTTCTTGCAGTTGAGTTTGCTGTTGTTGCTGTTGTTGCTGTTGTTGTGTGCATGCAATGTTTTGTGTTTTTGTATCTGTAAAGTGTAAAGTGTAAAGTGTTGCGTGTGGGTTAGCCAATTTTCTCCCGGATGGCACACATGTATGTTTGGTGGGACGATCATGTGTTTACTTTGCACTTACCTTCGGTCGTTCCATGATCAGGGCAGACTGGTATCGTTACAGTCGTCTCCTCTCCGGCAGGAGTGGTCGTAGGAGTGCTTATGGCTGCGGTAGACGTGATTGGTACATCCTCAGTCGTGGTCTTGGCAGTTGTTGTAGTTGCTTGAAGTGTGGTGCTGCTTGAGGCTTGGGGACTTGTCGATGACGATGACGATGACGATGCTGTTGTCGTTGTAGGCTTTGGAGTTGTGGTGCTAATGGTCGAAGTTTTCGGGGTTGTTGTTGTCTGCTGTGCGGTGGTTGAGCTAGTTGTCGGTTGCGCAGTTGTCGTTGTTGGTTTTGCAGTGGTACTGGTAATAGTTGTCGATTTCGGAGTTGTCGATGTTGTTTGTTCGACTGTAGTTGTTATAGTCGAAGTTTTCGGAGTTGTTGTTGTTATCGGAGTAGTCGTTGAGCTTGGTTTTGGAGTGGTACTAGTAATAGTTGTCGATTTCGGAGTTGTCGATGTTGTTTGTTCTGTGGACGTGGAGAGGGTCGTCGATTTCGGCGTTGTAGTAGACAAAATCTGGGTGGTGGATGTAATTGTCGAAGATTTTGGAGTTGTCGTTGTTTGTTGCTGAGTGGTGCTTGTAATAGTTGTCGATTTCGGAGTTGTCACTGTTGTTTCCGGAGTTGTGGTTGGCTCAGGAGTTGCGGTTGTAACAGTAGTTGTTTTAGGAGTGGTTGCTGTAACAGTTGTCGTTTTTGGTGTTGTAACTGTGGTCTTAGGAGTTGTGGTTATAGCAGTTGTGGATTTTGGGGTTGTCACTGTTGTCTTAGGAGTTGTGGTTTTAACAGTGGTTGTTTTAGGAGTTGTCACTGTCGTTTTCGGAGTTGTCGTTGCTGGCTCAGAAGTTGATGTTGTAACAGTAGTTGTTTTAGCAGTTGTGGTGGTAACAGTTGTGGATTTTGGGGTTGTCCCTGTTGTTTTCGGAGTTGTGGCTGTAACGGTCGACGTTTTCACAGTTGTCGAGGTTGGATCAGGAGTTGTAGTTGTATCAGTTGTTGTCTTAGGAGTTGTGGCGGTAACAGTTGTGGATTTCGGAGTTGTGGTTGTTAGTTTTTGAGTGGTGCTCGTAATAGTTGTAGATTTGGGTGTTGTCACAGTAGTTTTCGGAGATGTGGTTGTAATTGTCGAAGTTTTAGGAGATGTCGTCGTTGGCTCAGGAGTTGCGGTTGTAACAGTAGTTGTGGTGGTAAAAGTTGTCGTTTTCGGAGCTGTAACTGTGGTCTTAGGAGTTGTGGTTGTAACCGTTGTGGATTTTGGGGTTGTCACTGTTGTTTTCGGAGTTGTGGCTGTAACAGTTGTCGTTTTCGGAGTTGTAACTGTGGTCTTAGGAGTTGTGGTTGTAACCGTTGTGGATTTTGGGGTTGTCCCTGTTGTTTTCGGAGTTGTGGCTGTAACGGTTGTCGTTTTCGGAGTTGTCACTGTTATTTTAGGAGTTGTGGTTGTAACAGTGGTTGTTTTAGGAGTTGTCACTGTTGTTTTTGGAGTTGTGGCTGTAACAGTTGTCGTTTTCGGAGTTGTCACTGTTGTTTTAGGAGTTCCGGTTGTAATAGTGGTTGTTTTCGGAGTTGTCACTGTTGTCTTAAGAGTTGTGGTTGTAACTGTTGTCGTTTTCGGAGTTGTGGTTTTAACAGTAGTCGTTTTCGGAGTTGTCACTGTTGTCTTAGAAGTTGTGGTTGCAACTGTTGTCGTTTTCGGAGTTGTGGTTGTAACTGTTGTCGTTTTCGGAGTTGTGGTTTTAACAGTAGTCGTTTTCGGAGTTGTCACTGTTGATGTTGGCTTTACAGTTGATTTCGGAGTTGTAGTCGAGTCAACTGCGGTCGTTGTTGACGGTGTTTGAGTCGTTGTTATGGTTGTGGTGGCAGTGACCGGTTCCGCAGTTGACGAAGAAGTTTCCGGCGGCACGCAGTGCGGAGGCGTTGTAGGTACAGTCGGTGCTTCGGTGGAGCTCTCACGCTTCACGGTTGTACTCTTTGAGGTTGTGTCGGGTGTTGTGGGTGTAGGCAAAATTACAATCCTCGCGGACAGTTGTCCCTTGAGCGCCTTCAGGGTTTCCATCTGTTCCGGGGCCTCAGTAACCTCATTAATTTTGGCCGTAGAATAGGTGTATCTTTTGTACTGGTATTTGGTGGTTCCCTTGCTGTAGTACTTTGGTGTTGTCGGTAGGACGACAATGTTGACCGACGGATTGGATCTGATGTTGGCGGACTCTTCCTCCACGAGACTCTCGGCAGCAGGTTGGGATCCGTATTGATACGGTGAATACTCATAAGACGGATAGCTTGGAGGGGCAGCCGTTGTTGTGGTTATCTTGGGCAGAATGACAACATTAACCGACGGCTTTTCAACCACTTTGGAGCTCAGGATGGATTTCTCATTGGTCTGCTCCTTTGTTCCTGATGCCGTGTCGTAGTCGTCCTCCTCGTAAAGCGTTGGCGGCGCTGGGTACGGATAGAAATGTGGCAGCTGCGGATAGGCAACCTGCGGCACCGGCACATAGTCGTGGCACCTGACCTCGCTGCGCGGCCGACAGAGTCTCCGTGTGGGGTCATAGCTGTTGCTGCCGGGACACTTGAAGCGGGTTTGCAGATAGTTGCCGCTCTCCTGCAGCTTGCAGGTGTAGTAGAGGGCGCAGTCCGTGGGCGACCGGAAGGTGCCCTCCTCCGTGCACTCGGGGAACTTGATCTCACAGTTGACGGGTATATAGCTGCCGCTGTTCGAGATCTCCGTCGATGGGCACTCGTCGCCGGGTATGCACTTCCTCTTCAGTGGCGAGAAAATGGTGCCCGAAGGGCAGCCAAAGAGCCACGGCAGCGACTCGTTCTTGTCGCACCTGTAGTAGACCCTGCAGTCGCTCGGATGGGCGAACCTTCCCTCCTTCACACATGGCGGGGCCTGAGGCTGCACCCGATGCACGCAGCGACCACTGTTTGAGTTGAAGCTCTAATGGAGAGATGGAGAGATGAAGATGGATATGAAGATGTTGATTGAATCACGGACAAGAGCGGTTGACTACCTCTAGTTTCGGGCACTTGCTGAAGATCACGCAGTTGGGCTGGCAGACATAGTAGTACTCCTGCTGGTCGGGATGCGGCTTAATGCCCAAATAGTTCTTGGAGCAGCGATTGTTCTGCAGGATAGAACAAAATGGTGAGTGGGGATGCCTAGACCTCCTCCCTGATTTCACTTACATAATCGATTCGAACTGGTATACCGCCGCCGGGGAAGGGCTTGTAGACGCCATAGACACTATCGTAGTAGCTGCCCGGTGGACTGAACACTGGCGGTGGGGCCTGGTAGCCGTAACCGTAGGGCGCCTGGTAGGCATACGGCTGTCCATAGTACCCGTTGGGCAGCAGCGAATGGGGCGGCGGGCCGCCGGAGTAGCCGTTCGGCACTTGACGGATCGAGCGACTGTTCACCAGGGTGAACAGAGCCACAAGAAGCAGCAGCAGCCAGATAGAGTGGGTCATGGCGGGTCACTTCACTTCACTTCACTTCCAATTCCACTTGGCGAGGGTTGAGGCTTTTGGCTAATCTTGATGTGGATCACGAACACGAACTAAACTTATCGCACTACGACTGGGTACATCTGACGAACGAGCACACGTTTCGGGCCTCTGGAAGCTGCCTATTCCTGCAGGCGTTCCTTGCTATTTTGTTGGTCCTTTTGGTGCTGCTACCGCGCTTACCTCTCGTCAGACAATGTTGGCTTAGAGCGGGGCAGACGCGCTTAAATGGTCTCTGGAGTGCGCTCGCTTTCGAGAATGTTGCATAACTTAAATGCCAATGGGCCGCGCCGTGATTTAAGTACAAGAAATGTTTGCCGGTCGAGACACAGCGAGCGCATTGCAGAAGCTAGAGCAAAAACAAAGACACAGCCCCGACCCGTTGCTCTCTGGCTGCATGGTCTGCGGCTGGGGTCTGGGGCTCGGGTCTGGGCTCTAGCTAGCGGTGCTCTCCCCACGTGCCCCACAGACCGGAAGAGGGCCCCCGAGCTGCGATATCAGGGCCGTGCACCACTCGCTCCGAAATGCATGAGAATATCATTTTGTGATGAGAGCGAGAGACGGAGAGACTGCAATTACTTCCGGCCCGGAGATGGGTCGATGTCGATGTCGATGCTTTCTTATTGCGTTCATCTGGCATGAGTAATCGGTTCTAGACGTGATCAATGGAGCTGCCCAATGCGGAAGCAATGTCATGCACAGTCTGCAATCCACAGTCTGCAACGATAAGAAAGAAAATGTAAACATCTGTCAATGCAATCAGTGGACAAAAATAATGAAAATCCGGTGACAAAATAACCAGCAGAAAATAGGTTCCGATGAGGGAGTTGCACCACCAAAACAATGCAGAGATGCAGATGGAAATTGAGATTCATATGGAGATGAGTTGCCGCCCCAAGCACATCCCCCCCCCCCCCCCCCCCCCCCCCTGCAATTTGCAGCCCAAGGTTCCAAGCCCACCCAATCCAATCCGTAATTGTTTACGATTCTTTCACGTATTTTGCGACGGACTGGCAAGAGTTACGCACCAAAATATTTTGACGATTCGTGCGTCATTTAACACGTTCGCACTCTGCGCCCGCAAAAGGCACGAATTTTTTGGTGGGCGATGCACTGACCACCCACGTTAGGGAAAAAAGGGTCTGTCTCCACGTAAGAACCTGCAATCTCGGGCACGTACCCACATGTAACTCATAGCCAAAAACAAGCCGATAAATCGGTTCGAATTCGGTTGGGACTTGTGGCATGTCCGTGAAAACAATAAGAATCTCCCAAGCCAAGCTCCTGGCCAACTATTTCTTAAGCAACATTAAGCAATGAGTAATACAACAAGTAACATTGTACCCACCAGATAATAGAATTTAAAGCTAATCTGCAGGTACGTGCCTCAAGAGCAGCTAAAAAGTACTTGGGCTTATCATGGTAACAATCTGGCTAAACACTTTCAAACATTTACCATCTACATGCCACAGAAGTGGCTAATGTTTGGCCATTAGCTCTTGGATCTAGCACTCGCATATGATATGTTTGCACCTGACCATCGACACACAATCGGTTTATTCTAGTGGGGGATACCACACGGGTAAGTATCACACCATCCGCGTGCGAAAACATCTGTCTTTTATTTCCGGCTCTTGGCTGCGCTTACTGACATATGCGCCACGATGTGGCCAACAATCGCTCGATTCTTCTTGGTGGGTGCGGTGCGGTGCGGTGCGGTGGGCCATCACATAATCTTACTGAATACGTGATATCCGAGCGATAGCTGAATTTCGAGCTATCTCGTTGTCATCGACAATAGACAAGATCAACATTAATCAAATGCCGAACCGCTGATTGCTCTTATCTATCCGAATGCCATTGCATTCTTCATGATTCTCAGGAATTCCCACGTTGCAGAGATACAGATGGTGGGTGCGTCAGGGTCTACATTTGCCGACGAAAAGTCTGCAACTCTCTATGTTTAAAACATAAATTGGGAAATATATTGGGGCATGGCATGGCAAATCCTCACAAGAAGCCGTTACAATTTTAAGTGTGCGATTTTGCCGTTCCCTTTGATAGACAATTTTGAACATTTCTCCCATCTCAGCTCGCCAATCGGTTGCCTTGCTGTGGTTCCATTTATCCTAATTTCCTTCTTTCTAATGCTTACTTTTGTATGGGTAATTAAAGAGCGCCAAGAGTGGTTAATTTCGACTATTTTATGACCATTTTTCCACTTAAAATGGGGTAAAATAAAATGCAATGACAAAAATTCATAAACTCAGAAATATGCACGATGCAGAGAGAAGAGGCATGGGAATGGCACGGTGCAGATTGGCCCAACTAAAGCGTAGAAAGTAAACAAATTCCCATAGAATTCCGTCGCTTGCGGATAAGCCACGGGAGACATACAATTCCGACGAGTGCCGGTTACAAAATACGGCAAACTTCAAACGATTTTGGCTATCAAAAATGTTGTTATTCTGAAATCGGAGACGCCTACAAATGGAATTTCTACATGCTTTCACATGCATTCTGCATGGAACGATCGCTGCTGACGTCGCTGCCGCCTGCGTCGAAGAGCGAGAGAGAGATTGAGCTCAAGCTTTGAGCTTTGAGTTGCGGGTTTGAAACTTCGCTGGCGATCGAGAACTCAACAGAGTCCACAACCCAAAAAGCTTCGAGCAAAAGCTTATTGGCCGGAGCGTAAGCAGGCAATTACCCACCCACCCACGATCCAGTTCCCAGCGGAGAGAAGGAAGCTATGGCGTAGGAGTCTCTTAACTAACGAACTATTCACGTAAGAGAGCGCCAAAGTAAATCCAGCTAAGAGGCTGGCCACCACATCCTGCCTCCCCCTACTTCTTCCTGCTGCCAACAGAAAAGCAGAAAAAGTTGAGAAAAGTTTGCTCCGAGGAGAAGGAAAAAAAGTAAAGTAGCATCCAGCCAAAGAGAAGAAAAATGTTTCCCCGCAGAGGGGTGGCTGCGAGTGGAAGTGGGATTGGGATTGGTATTGGGGTTGGGGAGGCGTGGGAGAAAATCCAGCGACCAAAATAAACAGTAGCAGTCGCAGCAGCAGAATCTCTGCCAAGCCAAAGCTGGAACAGGAGCAGCATCAACACAAGCGACAACAACAACAACACACGAAAGGGAAAATGAACAAAAAAAATGGCGAAGAAAACGAGGCGAAAACAACGAAAAGGAACCTCGTCGTGTGCGATGGTATTAGTATTGGCGTCGGCATCGGCATCGGCGTCGGCGTTGGCGTTGACGTCAGCGCTCTCTATGTGTGTGTGTGTGTGTGTGTGTGTGTGTGTGTGTGTGTGTGTGAGTGCGTGCGACTGCTACGTCCCCATGTGGGTTGCCCAACGAAGACTTTCACTCTCGTTGCGTTGGCGTCGTTTTTCCTTCAGCTCTCACAAACGCCAACGTCGACAGCAGCCTCGGCATCGACGTCAGGTTTTTCTTTTGCAGCTGTCATGTTATGAGGCATGTGGCATGGGGCATGTGGCATGTGGCATGGGTCGACTACAACAAGAAGAAGTGCTCCCAAGCAAACGCTAGAAAAAAGCATGCAAAAGTGCGACAAAACTGATAAATTTCCACGCCAAAACGCAGGCCAGCAAACACAAAAAAAGACAAAGGCAACAGAAATCAAGGCAGCGACGTTTCAAGGCTGCCTGGGAACTAGGGGCAAAGGTAACAGGTAAATGTGCTGCAGGAGCAGGGAGAACAGAAGCGACCTTGAGCGTCCATTCTTTGGCTGTGGGCGACTGAGACCGAGGCCGAAACTGGGCCCGGGCTTGACTGATGCCAGACGTCAAGCTCTGAATGGGGTAACAAAAGCTCCGCTCGGTCGTGTCCTGCCCAGTCTGTGGGCTGTGGGCTGTGGTAAGAATTGTTCTAATTATCCAAACAGCTGAGACAGTTCAAAGTTCGCAGGATGGGGGACATACGCATATGGGGAAACCACCTGTAAGCCAAAGTCTCAACAAACACTGACCACCATTCAGACCCAGGCATAGATTAGGCCATGAATCAGTTTCTGGTGGGTGGCACACACACACACACACACACACACACACACAATGCCGACTGGCATCGGTCTCTGCTGCTCCTGTATCCTGCGTCTTCGTCTGCGTCTCTGCGCTTCCCTGCCCTCAAAAGGGAATTTTTCTCGCGTTTAGCTTTTCTCTTTTGCTTCTTTCTCTTCGAGCTCGGAGTCTGTCGCTGCTCTCAACAGGTTGCAACTTGCTTGCCCTCAAAGTCCTGCTGTGTGGCGCTGTGTGTGTGTGTGTGTGTGTGTGTGCGTCGTCCTTGTCTATCAGGGAGGTGCTGCCGAGCTTCTCAGGTGCCATGCTGTGTGCTTTAAGGCAGCTTTAATATGGCTCCCAGTGACCTTGAGGACCGGGCTAAGGCTAAGGCTAAGGCTAAGCGATGCTGTTGCTGTTGCTGCTGCTGCTGCTGCTTCCATGGCAGCAGTCAAGCAGTCACCCCCTCGCCACCCGTGACACGGAGTCTCCATCTGTCTGCCTCAGTAATCCTGGCAACCAGACACATCATATGTGTGCGTGTGTGCGTGGCGCGTGTCCTTATGTGAATGTCGTTGTCACGGTTACGGGCACCAACAAATCGTGTGGAATACTTTGCCGACTGACTGGCTCCTGCTCCTGCTCCTGCTCCTAATTTGGGCTATCCTGGTGCTGGACCTTGGGCCTTGTTTTTCGCCTGTTGAGCCCTCAAGACGTTTCACCGTCTATAGGTCAGGCTAGAGCCGTTTCGATACTGTCAGTCGGTGGTTGGTCCTTGATTAAAGGCTCGCCTGATTTATGGGACGCTATCGACTATCGACTCGAGCAGCGACTTTTGCTGTTTGATGTCTTAATCGAAGGGAAGAGCACGAAACGGGCACAGGGGACAGGGGGACAGGGGGGCAGAGGGCAGCTCCTTCCAGCTAGATGCCGCTGCAGTTTCTCTGTCCCTGGGTGAAACCGGTTTTTGGCCAGGCAAACTGCATTCAGCCGCTGTCTTCGTCTCTCTGCCTCTGCCTCTGCCTCTGTCTCTGAGAGGACGATTTGAAAAACGAAGCGCATTAGCGAGCTCAGAAATTGGGCCCAAAGCGAAAACGAAATCGGCCTCAGATGTGGATGGGAACGGGGCAACGAGCAGGGGAATGCAGCTGAGAGTCGAGCACTCGGTGGCTCAAGTATTAAATTGCAGCGACCTACATAGAAAGCTCCGAAGATTGAGAGCAGCAGTGGCATGGGGCATGTACCTTCTCCCTTCCCCTACATTTGAGTGCAGCTTGAGATCGAGTCGAAGCTGAGCTTTCGACTGCCTCGTTTCACATGCGCCTAAAACGTGGCCTGGGACTGGGACTGCAGTCCCTGGACACAAATGTTACGCTGATGGGAGGCGGAACTAACAAAACTTGTTCCGTGGAGGGATCAACAGTCCCTCCATCCATCCATTCGCTTCCAATGATGTTGCACAAACCGGTTAACGCACTCTCGAGTGTGCGGCTAGCATTTGATTGAAGTTGCCAGCCCCGAAATCGGCAACGGGTGGCAGCGGAGGAGCCAGTGGAGTGGGAGCGGAGCGCTGTGGAGGTATTCGGCAAAGTTTTTCCCCACTTGAAAATCAAATAAAGTTCTCTTCGGGAAGGACACATACACACCCATACACACGCACACGAATAGCGATACAGCCCAGTAAGTCCTTCGTCCTGTTTG